AATTTCTTCCATGCTGAGCTCCTTTGGAGGATCACACATGGCAGTCTGTTCCTCACCAAGACCTGCTGCCCTGGGTGAATCCAAACCTGCCCACATTGTGAGGGTAGAGAAGATGCTGTGGGCCTGCCTGAATTCAGGGACCCTGATAACAGACCGGCAGTGGTTTTAATTAGCCCCACTGATTCATGTTCTTTTGGGATATCTCTTCCATGAGGTCATCCACTTTTTGTCCCTCCAAGATGTTTGGACACAGAAGTGCCCTACAAAATGACATCAACTTGGGCCGTCTGAGATGTTTTTGTATTGGCTGTCAAAACTGCAGAGCCAGAGCTTTGGAGGTGCTCCTTACTCCTATACATCTGGCTCTGCAATAGTCCTCCCTAAGGTCTCCCTAAAGAAAGCTTCTTATGAAGCTGATTTTTATCCTGGGTAGTTACAGAATCACAAAAGTTTGAAGGGACAGTGGAGGTGGCTTGTCCAGCCCCTGCTCAAAGCAGAACCAACCTCCATTGTCAAATTGCAGAGGGTATTGCCTAGTTGAATTTTGAATATCTATCTCAAAGTATGGAGATTCCCTATCTTCTCTGGGCACCTGATCCAGTCTTTGAATGCCCTCATGAAAAAAAAAAGAGAATTAATCAGATTTTCCCTTGTCGCAACTTGTGCCTGTTACCCCTCATGCTTTTTGCATACCTCTAAGACCCGAGCTCCTTTTCTTCAAGTAGGTAGTGGAAGGTGGTAATAACAATCCCTTAAGCTTCTCCTGGTGGAATGAATCTATCTCTTTCAGCCACTTCTCATATGTAATGTGGTCTGTTGCATCACTCACCTTTTGCATAGCTCACCACCCTGCACATGACAGATGCACCACGTCTCTCAGGCGGCGGTGTGCTGAATTCATGCACACTGGAATGACATGACAGGTGAGGGAGGAAGGCTGGAAGGTTCCAGGAACCAGGCTCCAGCGCTGGTGTTCTCGGAGATCTCGCAGACGTTCATCTACCAATGGATCATTTCTTGTCCATCAGACATGGCCATGGCTTTCCTCCATAAAGAGCCTCTCAGTGTTTGTGAGGGTCTGAACACTGTGGCATTTGGAGGTAGCAGATGGAGAGAGATGAACAAGCAACAGTCCTCTCTTCTATGGGGCTAACTGAAGCAGTAGGAGTCTGAAAAATCAGACCTCATCCTCCTCCCAATGAACACATCACATACACATACCCTGGTTTTCCATGTGGAGTAAGAGCCAAGTGCATGCTTTCCTCTTTGCTAACAATATTTCCCTCTTCCTCCTTTCCTGTTTGAGTCAGTCTGGCTCAGCTCCTAAAGCTCATAGCCATGGCTGGATTCTGTGTGCACCTTAAAGGTTAAGAAATAGAAAGGGGAAAAAAAAGCCTTTTGCTGATTTATTTTTAATATAATTTAAATTATGTATTTTTAAGATGATTTCATGATTTCTGTTTCCCTGGGATCAGTAACTTTTTTTTCAAGAAATAAAGGGATTCAGGGATAGAGGTGTGTTATCTGAACAGTCCAGTGGATCTAATTCTGTGAATGGCAGAATAAAATTCGCCATCCCAGAACTGGTGTTCCGTGGACTCATTTCAGCACATTTAGGTGATCTGAAAACTCTCTGCCTCCCGTCAAATCATCAACAGGCCCTTGGTGACCTGCAGGCTTGGCCTGATGTTTTGCTGTCCTTGTCCTGTCGTGGCAGACAGACTACACTGATGGCAGCAGAGTTTCCAACAGGGTGTCCTTTCCTCCTGTGTGTTCCTGGGGAGGGGTTTGGCTCAGGGTGACCTGGAAGGAGGCTACATGGTGCCCAAACTTTTCCTGTCATCTGATATGACAATCTTAGCTGTGTTTGCTTGGGGAGTCTGGATCACCTATTCCTTATCCATTGCAGAAATGGAGTGAGTCTGGCTCTCTCCGGCACTGCCCTTGTATGGGGAGATGTAAAGCATCTTGTCCATGTGTATAATAGTGTTTTTCACAGATAGACATGCCTCATTAATCTTTTTGCAGGCAGGGGGACTGAGGCATAGGGTGCTGATGGATGGGGAGGCATAAACTTGTAGCTTCTAGAAGACCATCACAGTATAAAGGCCCAGCTCTCCCCTCTCTTCTCCCCTTGTTTGAGACTGTACAAATTTGTTCCTGGTCCAATGGCTACCTGAGATGCTCATGTGTATCTGCTGGAGACACCCAAGTGCGGAGGTCCATAGTGGGCCTAGGATTTGTCACTTGCAGCCTAAACTGAAAAAATTATTGGAGTCAGGTAGCAAAACAGTGTCAGATCGTGGAACAAGTGTCTCAGCACTGACTGCATGACCTTTGGCATGAGTCAACGTAAGTTGGTAGCCAAGCAGAGGCTACATCAGTTTGCAAGCATCTCTGACCTCCAGCCTTGTCTGCAACCAGCTCTGATCTCCATCCTTTTCTGTGATACTTAGGCTTTAACCCCAAGTGGGATGAAGAGTTTACATTTGACGTAGAGATTCCTGAGCTTGCCCTCGTGCGGTTTGTGGTAGAAGACTTTGACATGTCAACCAAGAATGACTTCATTGGGCAGTACACACTCCCCTTCACTAGTCTGAAGCAAGGTAAGGCCCTGCTCCCACTTCTTTGCACCCCCTGAGCCCTTCAGAAAGCTCCTGTGTCCTAGATGAGCCCTAGAGCCCATTGCACTGGAGGTCCCAAGAGACCTTCTCTCTGAGGCCTGGCCAAGATGGTAAATGGCTTGTTGAGCAGCTGCTCAGCACTGTCTCTGGGTAAGCAGCAGCTAAGGAGGGAAGGCGTTCCTGCTGCCTGAAGCTGTACGTATCATCTGACCTACCTTTTCTGTGAGGCACCCGGAGCAAAACACTTGGGGGCAGCAGCAGCTACAAAAAGGGAAATGTTACTGCGGGGCCTTACCAAACGTTAGCAAACGTTTTTCTTGACAAGACTAAGGGCTGGTTTCCATCTCCTTCCAGGTTACCGCCACATCCATCTTCTAACTAAGAATGGGGATCCGTACTCCTCCTCCACCCTCTTCGTGTACATCAGTATCCAGGACTGTGATTAGTGACTCAACGCTTTCTGGGCACAGTGAAGCCTGTTTCAGACCCAGAAGAACCTCAGCGTGCGACATCTCGTGCGACATTTGCCTGCAGCAGGATCCTGTCAAGTCCCCAGTGCCTTCTCCGGAGCAGCATATGGTGCCCTATAGGGCCCGTGGTGTGAAATAGCCATCAAACCTCTCCCTTCTGTGTGCTGGAAACATCCTGATGGGGTTGTTGAGAATAATCATTTTGTAGCTGTTCCATCAATCCATACATGTTTTTAGTTCAGTTTAATTCATGTGATTTTTAATTCTGCTTTTAGTGAGAGCATAGGGACTCCTTTTTAGCCAAAGAAACAGCTCTTGGGTTGCGTTTGGGCCGACATCTGGACAAAACACGTAACACCTGTGCCAAAAAGCACACCCTACCACTGGAACACAGCAGTCAGAAACAAGCTGACTTCACACTACTTCAGATGTTGCTATATAAAGTCCCAAACAGGGACAAGAAGTCTCCTGTTATCTGTTACAGCTTAAAAAAGAAAGCTGCACTACACAGGCCCATGTTATATAACTTGACTTACCTTTTGTATTATAATAAAAAATACATGAACACTACACTGCCTGTGTGCCTGGCGCTCAGCCAGGTCGCAGTGCATTCAAAGCCTGGCTCCGAGTCTGTGAAGGAGAAAGAAGCCACCAAATGGCAGATTTCCCTCTAATGCAGAGTGAAACCCACTCAGAGAGACCTCAGAGAATGTCTTTTATGGATGACAGTGGAAATACACTGAACTGACAGTAAGGCTTTTTTTTTTAGTGCCATAAATCATTTTTGTTTGTGTTTTTATAGAAAAAAATGAGAAAAAAAGTCTTTTTTTTAACCAGAGAGGAAGCAGCAGTAGAAACCTCTTTAAATGTTAGTTTGATCCCAATTGCACTATAGGCATAACTTAGCACAAGCAGGCAAGAGTGTTTTGAACAGTAATCCAGTATTTATGGAAAAAGGTCTTTTTTTTTTCCACGTACAACTACAGAGTTAAGGGAATATTGTTGAAATAAAATAATATATTTTTGAAATGCCAGCTGTGTTACTAACTATATGTTAGAGTATTAAAAACAGAAAAAAATGGAAAAAGTCCAATTATTTGTCACTATTTGCCTCTTTGGCTTGTTTGAATGCAATTTGACGATAGACTTGTTTAATTTGTCTAAAGCTAATCAGTCTTTCTGGAGTTTGCCATACCTACTGGTGAAGAATGACATGCTGCTACCAAAGAGGTGAATGTCCTTCTGAATGAATTCCAGTGCTCTCCCTGCCCCATCTATTTCCTAATCCAAAATAGTCAGGATTTAGTAACCCTTGGGCACACTGTAAACTGGGCTTCATTTAATCCAACCCAGAGTCTGTCATGCTGCAGTAGTCACTGCTGGACACATTGAATTTTCCTCCTCACTATAATTCTGTGCGATGTTGTAAACCACTGCCAGATTAAATGTGAATTTAATCCCCACCTCAAAGGCTCAAACTGAATTAATTCCCAGCGATTCAAAGAGCTCCAGACAGATGTTGCCAAGACAGAAGGAGCTGTCCTGCAGTGATGTGGGCTGCCTCTCAGCTCACCTCTGACATGGGGCAGGTTGCATCATGAGGCACAGCTGAAAGCCAAGGTGGGAGCGTTCTTGACACATGCAGTGTCATATGGTGACATGCAGTCTCCTACTGCCACAAAGGTCCCACATGATTGGGTTCTTGTGTGTTGGGGCTAAACTGCTATTCTTGCTCCTTCACCACCTCCCAGGGGTTTGCAGTGTTATCATTTGGGAGAAAAATGCAATTTTTGTGCAGCAAGTGTGATGAGTGCTAATGTCCTCCTCCCCCAGGGATATTTGAAGAGGAGGGCTGAAATGTGTCTCTGCTCCTCTTCACCACAAAACTGAATTGTAACCACAGTCTGTCACTCTGGGCACTGGAGCTGGATGATGGTGTCCCCAAAGCTGTCCCCCACCCAATGACCACGCATTGCTTCTGTGCTCAGACCCAGGTCATACAGCCAGGGTCCTACCCCCCATCAAAGCCCACTGAGATGCACAAACTGGGTATCTTCATAAACCCTGGCGTTTCTGACTACAACTCCCATCCTTACCACAGCCCAAGGGTTGTAGCACTTGTTCAGGAAGGACAGAGCAGGGGCAGAGCTCATTGCTCCCAGCTCTAAAGGGAGGGACATTTATTGACAAATATTGACACAGCAGGACATGTAGGTGGTCCAGCTCCCGTGTGGACCATTCAGTGACCAGATGTCTGGCATATAATGTCTCTGAAGGCAAATGCAGAGCACAGTGGTTGAAAGGGGACAGGCTGAGTTTGGTCCCTGCTGACAGGATGCTCTGCGCATCTCATTTTAAAGAGCCACTGGATAAAAAGTGTGAATAAAGGATACCCTCGACTTCTCCATACCATGCAGGGAGCTTGAACCATGCCACCTGCGTAAAGGCATGATTAGTGGCATTTCTGCCCCCTTTCTCATGTCAGTGCTGGGTCTTGTGTGGTGAGTTGGATGAGCAGGTGTGTTGTCTAGGAACAGATTATACATGGGTTTTGCATTGCAAAGTCAGATGTCTTTTGGATCAATGAACTTAATCACCACCTACCAGCTAAGGCCAATTACTAGAAGAGCAGAGGACTGGGGAACTGCAAGGTAAGAAATAGTTGTGGACAAGGGCAAGAGCACACCACCCATGATCAAGCTGGCCTTAAATGGACTACATGGAGAAGCCAAGGCTTCTTCTGCCTCTTGTGTGTTTAAAAGACAGGAAAGATTTGGGGGAAGAGTGAACAGCCTTGCTCAGATCAGCTGACAGAGTTGGGGCAAAACAGCTGGACCAGCTGTGACAGAGCTGAGATGGCCCCGAGCATGAGGGGACACCACGGTAGGGGATCTCTCCCCAAAGGAACATGGTCCACACTGGTGCCAAAGGACTTCACCTTGGGGCAAACAAGGAATCTCTGTGGCCCCACTCTAGGGAAGAGATCTAGTGAAAAGAGACGCCAGGGCAGCAGCAAAAATGAGACACGGCCCAGTAGACACTGCAGTGCAGAAGAGCAAGTGGTGTGAGAAGGAGAAAACAAGTGAGAAACTGCCATTTCCTCTATAAATCAGAGGCAGGCATTAAAATCATCTCTCCCCACAAGGAGCTCCCAAATATCACAGGGACCTTTTATTTGTAAAGTCTCATGCTGTTTACTGAGTCCTGGCATGTCTCCTCAGCACACGTTTGCTGGTGAGCATCGTGGCAGCAGGAACGAAAGTGTCACGTTGTGAACCAGCCTAATCTCCCTAATCCGATTCCATTTCTACCTCTCTCCATTTGATTGACTGCTACTCTTCAGGCCCACAATCAGGGCTTATAGATGGAGTCACTGAGTTTTGTCAAGTGGCTCATGCAACTCGTTAGTTTGGGAGCTGACAGGAGCATGCCACAGCGGGGCGATATAAATATTGTATGTGGATTGTTGCTTCCAACTGTGGCAATGCTGGCTGAAACAGGGATAATGTGCACTGATTGTATCCAGTGGGAACACAACAGGGGCAGTCATGCAGATAATTTGGCCGATTTGTGTCTCTGCTTGATTCTTACCTTACTCTGCACGAGGTTTCAATGGATTTTTGCGCTGGGCCCTCAGGCATGGATGGGCCAAACAGCTGCAGGGAGCATAGAGGTAATGGTGAGATTGCAGCTTGCGTAAAGTAGCCCCCAGTTCTTAATTGCAATGATTTCTGCAGAAAATTACAAAACCTGAAGGTGCTTGCCCCCAGGACAGCCAGATGGTGACACTTCACTGTGACTGCACCATTACCAGTCCGGGATATTGCTTGAGAACTCTTTGCTCCTAGGTCAACTGCAGCTCCTAAGCCCACGAACACTGTATTCCTGGAGCAGGGAGGGCCAATCAGGTCAGCGGCTGAGTGCAAAGGAAGGGCAGCCAAGTGGCCTTGTTTGTAAGGAACAGGAGCCTCCAGGAGCATGGGGCATCGGCACAGTGAGAGAAATGGTGCCAAGGCACCTGCTATGCGGCGTTTGAGGACAGACAGGCCCGCACCGCCTGTGTTTGTCCTTTTCTTTTTAAAACATCCAAAATCCCGTTAACAACCAGCTGCTTGAAGGAGCTGTGGCCCTGCGGAGCTTTTCTCCACCGCTGTCCTACCCCACCTGCTGATAAAGGACAGTTTTCATGCTGCTGTTGGCTGTTTATTTGAAATCACCGATTAGGCTGGAAGTGAAATAAAGCCGCAAAACCAAGTCTTTTGGGTTTCTTGAAATGTATGTGCTTCTTCCTTTTGTTTACAGTTATATCCCTTAAACACTGGTTGCTAGCATTGCCCCCTGCCCCCTTGATCAGATTGAGCTCACACTGTGGAACGTGCCCTCAGCCTCACACAGATCCCAGGGATGGAGCTCCGTGACGAAAGCTGCAGTCGGACAAAGGAATTCCCCAAAACTTTCTGGCTTCTCCAGGCCCCTGGTCTGTGGGAAGAGGGACTCTCCTGCACCTGCCTGTGGTCAGAGAGACCAGGCAAGAATGGAGACACCTTTTCAATGAAAGAAAAAAATAAAATAGGGTCTTGTCTGACACTCAAAATCCTGCATATAGTCTCAAATCTCATCAGCCTCTTGAAATAAATCAGCTAATAAATATGTTCTAAATATGTGGGTTTTTTTTTTACAGGCCAGCTTCTCTCTTTTTTTATTTTTTTATTTTTTATTTTTATTTTTTCTTTTCCTGCATATTAGTCTACAACTGATTTCTGTGGGAGATATCTCTTCTGCAAGCTGTGAAGGAGTTGATCTGGCCAATCTCACTCCATGGACTACCCTGTCATGCCCTACTCCAATATCTTTTCCCGACCCCAAGACTCCCTACCAGCCCCTATTGCCTTCCCTCCTCTCCCAGCCCAGCACTTACACACCTACTGCAAGTAGTCTTGGTCCTGCCTAATTTTAAATTTCTAATTTCCTAATTTTCCTAACTTAAATTTCAGGAAGACCCTGAACTTAGGCAAGTGGAAGTCTGCTAGGGGGAGAGGAGAGAACAGGCTAACTATAGTTGTGTGAGACACACTCGTCTTTGTGACTATCAGCAATAAAATGTCCAAAAAAAAGGCAAGAAAATCCCATAAAGTCACTCCTAGAAAAAAAATTTGCATCCTAGGTTTTGGGGTTGGCAAAGAGAAAGGAGCTTTCCCCCTGAACAGAGCCTGCTGGAAGAACTGCACAGGGGCTTGGCCTGATTGA